TTATAGTACGACAAAAAATGAAATTGAAAAAGGGCAAATAATTGTGTATGGCACAAATTCAGTTGTATCTAATAAATGAAATCTGGAGGCCTAAGACAGGTTTGGAGTAATTTTATGAAAACATAAATCTGAATCAAGTTGGTGACTAGTTTCGACTAAATACGTTATGACAAATAGTCTTATTTTTCTCTTCTATCATTTGGTCAACCATAATAACTGTGAATTATCTCTAAATATTTCATTGGTCACACATTATTGCTTTCTTTAAAATAGTTACTATTGTATCTATAAAGATTGCGACCATTGATTTATCAAGCTTAATAATAAGCAATTTCCAATTTACCCATCTTCTCCAATATGACTTTATATATATTTTTAACGTTAATCTACTTCAGTAAACTTTAATCTTACAAAATTCTAGTCCATATGATCTACGTTTATGGTTTCCTTTCACTTTTAAATGTCACGTGTTCTTTATTATTTATTTTTATGCATTATATTATAATACAATTAGTTCAGTTATGATGCTTCATTCCCATTTTCATTGACTGTTTCTGTACATTACACTATGAACTACTCTCTGAAATTCAGTAACTTACAACTTAATCAATCGTTTTCTAATGTGCAAGAAAACACCTCTTGGTTGTAATGTGTAATGCTTATAGGAATACGCCTTAATTTCTGAGGTATAATCTATCTTACATTTGTAACTGTGTTTTGTTACTGTCCGTGGTAATTTTTTCTTGATAGTTTAATCGGCTTTCATTTTGTTGTCTCATGGTTTGTTATTCCATACTACTAACAATTTTGGGACTATTACATATTGTTACTTAACCAATCCTACATTTTAACATATTATTCTTATATGTAGTTCTCCATTCATGGTGTCACGTAAGTTTAAAAAGATCATAAATATCACATGAATCGAGGTTTGCAAACACTGTTGTTTACTCTGTCCTTGGCATTTGACACCGTTATTGTGCGTAACTCGATTGCTCAATCGGGACTCTCGACAGATTCAGTAGTACCCGATGTTAGTATAAGCGCATTGTTATTGCGTGAGGTTGTAGAATACAGTAAAAGACATGCTAGTTTCTAAAACAAGGCATTGGAAAACAAAAAATCGACGTGATTCAACGTGTAACACCGTTCATAAATGTATGTTGAATGAAGGTGATGAACATTATATAGAGAAAACTAAATGACAGGACATTGAAATTTTTTGTCGTTATTTCCTCTTTAGGAAAAATGTTTCTAAGATTTTTAATGAACGCGCATTTTTTTATTCGACAGGACGTTTTGAAGACAGTGTTGCTATGAGGTTTAATCCTAGTGAATTTATTTCAAGAGAAATCAGAAAACAATCATTTTAGAAGTGTAGTAAATGAGTTAGAATTTTGTTATAGCTTTATAGATGACACTTGATTATGTTATAATATAACTGAAATTAAGTTGGCGTCTGGTAACAGTAATGGAGTAATTTGATTGGATGAAACCGTGGAATATAAACTAAAACGTATCTCTGGTCTACTGGATAGGAAGTGGTTATTCATTAAAATTCTTTAACAAACAGATTTATTCAACTGAAAACAATGTGGAATTATTCAGAGTGTAGAAAAACTATCACTAATCTTGAAACTACAGTTTAAATGTAACAGAACCAACACAAGTCTGATGCAACTTGTGAGATATGTCCTAGAATATTATTTAGTGCAGTAAGCCCATGAACTTCCTTCTACTTTTACCCAACAGTGAACTCTCAAATTAAAGGTAACCTGCCTAGTTCTTCCAAGTCCTTGTGAACTCAGCAGTCCAAATGTTCTTGATGCACCAGTTATCTCGGACATGCAACTAGTCAAACTAATCATAATGTTTTTGAATGTCTTTCCTGATAGTTGACCGAAGGATAAAAACAGCAATAAGAAGCTCAGTTCTGGCACACGTAGCTGATAGTAGACAGTTACCTTTGAAAATTATGTATAAAATTCCATTACAACTGCCTTATTCTTCCACGTTTCATTTGTTGCATAGAGATAAATTCACAGGAATACGTTTAAATTAACTTCTGTATAGAAACAACGTTTTGAAACCCAATTATTCACCCTGACTTTCCATTGAATTTCATAGTCATGCGTATCGTCATGTCTCATTATTGCTTCATTGTAATTTCGACTTATATTCTCACGTTCTCCTTAATAATCTGTTTATCTATTTTCATGATACTCACTTAATGAAAAACTCATTATTTCTAAAAGTAGCACTCAACTTTTGTATGCTAATGAGTTTACATCGACTACTGGGGAGTCCAATACTAGGACCAATCTGCCATTCAATGCTTTCAGGTTTTTAACAGTGGTCTAACATTGATTGAATTATTATCTCAATCAGAACTCAAAACAACTTCTTGTTAAAGTTTTAGAATTTATACAACGGATTAATCTTCCTAAGTTCACATTTGTAAATCAACTGATTTCTGAAATAAAACAAATGAACTTCACCCCACAGTCTCTATGTACCGTGAAAAACATCAGTAATACATCAGATTTATGTCTTAGATAATACGAAACTTAGCGTTCCTGAAACACTCAAATGACTATCACACAGTGTATGATATGGGGTTGTAAATCAAACATAATATGCAGAATTATAATTGAATTATATGCACTAAAGATTAAAAAGGGTAAATGAATAATAAGCTCAAAAATATAGAACAGTATAAAAGTAAAATAAACTGTTGATACCATCATATTAATGGTTTCATTGTTTTATTTAGACTTCTTTACTCCTATATAATATACCATTGGGAGTATAAACTATTAAAATTAATTTTAGTGGTAATAACGAATAATGAAGCCATAATCTGTTGTTGGGCAATCCAACATGATATATACACGAATCTTAAACATTACAGAAGGGTCATCAATTCAGTGATTGAATAATATTTGCTTTAGAAGCAGATAAAATCGGATTACTATCATCAGCTTTTAGACTATATGAAACTTCCTAAATCTTCCGGAAATCATAGAATAGCTGCAGAAAAAGTGATCCAAACAATTACAACAACCTTACTAAGCGTACTCTTTCGAAAAAAATAGAATATTACGCAACATTGCTTTCAAAAGAAATATGCATAACATAAACATCTTAATACACGGACAACTCTTTAATTTTGGTCACGTTGCCATAACACCCATAAGAATTAACAAACTTATTCAGAGACTCAACGAATTAAGATTATACGTACTCCATAGGCTTTAGCAATTCGTCTATTTAAGTCTAAACTCTAAGAACTAACGCTGTAGAGACAACTCCACATTCTATCATGCCTAAATCCTTCAAATATGTTTTGGTTTAAATTTGTTCAGTAAACAGTTGTTATTATCCTATTCCTATTCTTTATAACTAATATTAAAACAAATGGTCCCTTTGATAAATCTCGTTAGTGTAATAAGATGTTGATTGTCAGAACTGTGATATATTAGCGCAATACATTACGAACAATCTGATCACACATATTATACTTGTTGAGAACATTTATATATGTAAAATAAAATGTCAAATGGACTGGAAAGAAACGGTAGGAGAAGACAAAGATAATAAAGTAATAACGTGAAAATAAGTTGGCCCCTCATCACTCAGATAATAAACAGATGTCACCAGAGTAGGTTTGAGGTGAGAATAAACTGTGTTTGAATACCCAGATGGGTTTTAAATCTTCGTAAAGCTAGAGATTCAATAAACCTTAGTATACGCCCTTTTACACTTTTGTACAACGCCACTAAAGCCGAGTTAGGATCAATTTTACGACAATAGGGTTTGATAGATGTTTATCCCCTACTCTTATTTGTTATTTCCTTGATAATGACCGTCGATTCACAATCTGTCTTGTTAATGACTGATTTAAGCCTTTGTTTCAATAAAAGGCTATTTAAATCACCTCTAAATGGTAAGGTGATGTAGACAGGCTTTTTTTCTGCCAAAGCTATAGTACGTCTCACTGTACCATAAACTTTCCATATATTTATGAATTTAAAGGTATAGTCATTTTCCATTAATGTTTTATTTAACAACCTGACATCATCATCGATGGCGTCGTTTGTACACATACGATCAAACTTGTTAAATAGGCACCTTATCAAGCCCAGTTTGTATTGCACGGGGCATGAACTATAATAACTAAGTTATTGACCTATCCACGTTGGTTTTCTTAAAATGGATCGTCCGATTAAGCCATCTTCTCGTCTACTTAGAAGTATACTTAGGGAGGGAAACTGGTCGTCCTTCTCCTCTTTGCATGAAAGCCTGTTGTGTTTTCGGAGAGTGTTAAATTTATTCAATAAACAGTACATATCCTCCTTTCTTTCACAGACAACTAAGATATCGCCCACATACCCCTCATAAAGTGACATGTTTTCGATTAGGTCCTCAACCAGACCTTTTATTTTTATATATAAATGTTCTTAACAAGTATATGTGTGATCAGATTGTTCGTAATATATTGCGCTAATATATCACATAGTTCTGATAATCCTTGTCCTCGTATTACACTATCGGAACAAATATCAAGTTATTATTCGATAACATCATAACCTTCTGTTTTTCTTCACTAATTTGAAGTGAATAATTATCTCACTACTAGTCTGCAAGTTATTTTCATACCTTGAATTGTTTTCGTAAAACTTTTTAGTTATCCTTGAAGTATCTGAATACTGTTTGTTATAATCTCTTTTCTATTTTATCATAAACTGATATATTGAATAGACGCAAATGTAAAGTCTCATAGAAAAAGAATTTTTCGTCAAGGAGTTTTTTTTGTATTTCTTCTTCTTCTTCTTCTTCAGTAAACACTATTTGCTGAGAAGCAAATGTTAAATGATTACGTACACTGTAACTTTGTTTATTGTATTAACAAATCACTTTAAAGATTTATAATAATTGGTTAAAAAAGTACTTTACTTTCATAATAAAAGAAATTGTTAGACCTTTTGAAATCATTGTTATCACTTACAGAGGTTATGTTAACGGAATTAAATAAACGAGTTATACAATATGGAGTATTTATTATAAGTTTATTGGTGATAATATCTGGAGGTTCAGTCCTTATCTATTTTGTTTTAACTAATAAACAAGGTGAGATATTTCTTAAACAACTTTTGCTATATAAACATTTTGATAATTTCATTGTACACAATCAACTTCATTATTATCTCGGACGACATAATTCAATACATTAGTGTATATAATCACATGTGGTAATAATAACTTCTAACGTATTATTTATGTCAACAGTAGAAGTTAAGCACTAAGATTTATAAGTCGTTTTCACAAATTATACACTATTTCTTCAAACACAACAAACTTATTTGTGTTTATATAAGACAAATAAGGTAATAAATTTACTGTTATGACAGGTCTGAACAAGAATTCATGATTATTATGTATAGAGTCAGTGATAGCAACGCTCTGCTTAAAACCTGACAACATACTAAAATGTTAAACAATATCGATGAAGCTATATATAAACTTTCATAGTTGACTGTTTAGAGAAATAATGAACGTCCCTAGGTCAAATAAGAAATTTATATGGAACATTTTCAAATCACACTGGCAATTTAACTAACTTATAAATATAGCTAATTTGGGAGTGAAATTGAAATTCAGACATTCACTTTAGCTTATTGTAAAGAATAATGTCACGTGCTGCGAAAATGATAGTACTCACATTCCAATAGGACATATATTCAGAGTTTCTGATAATTAACCCGGTTAGTTAACTCGGTTCAAAGAAGAACACATTTAGTCGCTTATGTTAATGTAAAATCTGAAATATTTACCAGTTCGAATCACTTTTATTTGTGTACATTACTTAGTATATTAGAAAAACAGAGTGTTTGACGTTCCTATTAGCTTGCATTTTGTTTAACAATTTTGTTTGATCTGTAAACAAAGCAAGTTGTTTTATATATTTCTATAACACTGCAAAATCCTGTTCATCTGTTAGTCATAAGAGAAGAAAAATCAGATTTAAAAAAACCCTAGTTATGTACCGCCTAAACAGCTGTAAAATCTTTATGAGTAGTAACCATCAGAGTTCGTTTGTTAATCGGTAGTACATACTTATTTTAATGTTAGTTACCGTCAAGATAGTAAGAAAAATTATAATGAAGTCCACTTACTTGCTCAATACAGTCAATAACATTTTAGAGTTAAATTTTTTGTAGCGCCAAAGAACTTGGCAATTTATCTTTCGAACGACACTAGCACTCAACTATCTCAGATGCTTGTCATGATTTTTACCAGTTTGCTTGTGGAGAATGGGAAAACCAAAATCCTTTGATTAGTCAAGACGCTAGTTTGAATGCATTTCTTAAAATGGAAATAATGATCGATCATTACTTCTGGAAAATAATTGGTAAATTATACTGTAGTAGTATTATTATATTAAAATGTTAGTTAACTCATATCAATTCACCATAACGAAGTATTTTCTAAAATCCAAATAATTTAACACCTACCACTTTCATTACACTAAACGCAGATACGAGTTTTCGCTTAATAAATATGTAATAAGCAGTATTATGAAATAAATCCTTATCAGTTGTGAATGAGTAGTCATGTTCTATATCAGAATATCAGTGATTGAAGTTATTGTCAATCAGAATTGATTATTTTAAAGTGAAAAGTTCAGGAAAATAGTTAATAGGGGATTATGCAGTAAAAGACAATAGTTTTTTCAATCAGATACTTTGTTTAATCAAATGAAATTTGTTTGTTCAATCTACATTATTTTATGATAACAACGGGTATGTTGAAGCTGATGAGTCCTACGACATAGAAGATTCACATCTACAGAATGCTCGAAAGTTTTACAAATCTTGCGTATTCACTCGTAACTGGAAAACAGCTCAATTAGCTTATCAATCATTAATACGTGATCTATTTGGTGGATGGGAACTAATACCGTCAATTTCAACAGACACTAAAAAAATGAGTCTAACTGATCTATTTTTACCAATAATAAGTCAAACTGGTAGTTCACTTTTATTTTCAATAAATATCAAGCAGGATTTATTCGCCGTAAATGTAAGTGTTTCTTTCATAAATCTAATTTTAAAAATTGTTAAACCTCATTAGCTCGAAATGTATCAAAACCTCCAATAATGCATCAAAATATTTAGTGTTAGTCGTTATGGCGTTTTGAATGGGGTATCGATTGCCTTACAACATCTGAAATTCCTGATATGTGGGCGAGAATGATAATGATTGGTTGTTTGTCTAGTCAGAAATGTTGATAATTTGACAGATGTTAGATGAGTTATATATTTTCGTATCCTTATAATTATTATTGTTGATTGTTCATTGTTGTTGGATTGTGTGGGGTTTTAGGTGTAGAAATATATTTACGTTCTAGTCAGGCTAATCACGTGTTCTTGATCTGAGTTGTGTTGAAGTCTTGTAGAATAGACACTGGGAGGGAATCTAATGTAGATATTCGTCTAAGGTAAAATAAAATCCCATTCGTTTAGACGTTGAAAACCCAACCGTTATAACAATTACAATTAAATCTCATTCTTCCTTTCACTACTATAAATTGTTTTTACATAATTCATGTCTATCTGAAAACTTTACAGTGAGAATACTGTGATTCTTTAGTGAAAATATGCATTATGTTGTAATGCAGCATTTTCGGTTTGTTCGAGATTTTACAATTCACAATCGTAAAAGTGACAATGAAACAAAATAGATAAAAAAAACGACTTGATTCCAACTCTTTAAATGTGAATGGCACCTCTTTGTGATTTGCCACAAAATATATCTGTAACAAAAAATGATCTATTTGTTTTAACCAGTAGTTGAGAACAATGTATCCCATCTCACATTTTTCTACATGAAAAACTACAAAAAAACAGAACTTCATATCAATTGTGTTTACCTTGCAAGTGATACTTTGACTGTGATTCAAAAACAGTAAAATATCACCAGTTGATCTTTTGTTTCGTTTCGCAAAGTGATATGATTTTTATGAATCATGAGAAAAGTAAAATATAGTTATAATGACATTCTAATCCAAACGCTTGCAATAAAATCTGTCTACCTGTGTCGTATGTTTACCATCAAAATATATTTTATGATGTTGCATGAAATTCTTTCGCGTTTAATGTTGTTTAAAATGTTCTACACAACATCAACTAGCTACATTGAATAACGGAGTGCTGATATTCTTTGATTCATATAGTCATTAACTGCTCACCGCTAGTATCTTAGCAAACTCTAATCAATGAAAAATGAAATACGTTTGGTCAGATAGCATTCTAAATAGAATAAAGTTGTTTAGTCATGTAATATGATAAATAACTGTCAGAAAAACTGTATTACAGTATATTCTCATAGCTCAATTTGATTAACAAAGATTAGAAGATTTAACACGAACATTCATTAGATTTCACAAAAGCTAATCTATGAGATATTTTTTACATATAAATAAATAAATAAATGACTTCATCGTAATCTGTTGATAAATAAATTTGTTATATCACACATGGGAAACAGGGAACCAAATCAACATTTTACAATGTCCTATTTCAGTAATAATGACAAAAATATGATTGACACAAGTCATTTTTCAATGTTTAAGATCATGAGTCACTCAAAGCCAGACCACCATGGAAAACATGGAAGCACTGGACGGCCGTTTCGTCCTATTATGGGACTCCTCAGCAGTGCGCATCCATGACCTCGTCCCCTGCGAGATTCGAACGCAGGACCTACTGGTTTCGCGCGCGATCACTTAACCACTAGACCACTGAGCTGGCAGGCATCCAACGGTGTTAATGTCTAACTTCAACTAATTCACGAAATTGGGCGACACATTCACCATTGTCTTCAGTGACTTACTATCTCACAACAGACCTGGTTGAACTCCACTGGTCACTACTTCTCACTAGAACTCCAGGATAAATTCCGTCTTATATCAATGTGCATTTCAATGTCTCATCCACTCAGTTTTACATGTATATTTCATTTTGAGTAAAAGACATTCCAAATTTTATTTAACAGACTGATATGGATAAATTCGAAGAGGATTACTACAAGCTTGCATTTGGAATAGGAGTATCTCATTTCGAGCAATCACAGTTAACAATTGCTTTTCAAATGTTGGTCGATTTAAGCAATGTGAGTTTTGTTATAAATAAATTTGTTGATATTGAAAGCACGGACTGACCTTAGCCAAACAACCATTGAAAGCCTGTAAGCACTAAATTGGCGTCTCCTCCTAATATGGGACTCCTCAGCAGTGCACATCCACATTCGAATATCGAACTCAGGACCATAGGGCTTACGCACGGGTGCTTTACACCTTGCGGCATCTGACGGTGTCAATGCCTAACTTTACTAAATCCATGATCTTGGGAAACCGTCCATCCACCGCTGAGGTGGATAATTGACTTACATCAAGCACATATTGAACACTACTGGCCACGTCTAGTCACTAGATCCCCAAGAGTTACGACTTGAAGCTAGTCATTAGTGAAAATATAGTTCCACACCATGTTAAAATGGCCGCTCAGTGCTTACAAGTTTTCAATAGTAGTCTAGTTAAGATCAGTTTGTGACTTCAACAATAAAAATACCATAAAATCTTCAAATGCCAAATAAATTTGTGTTTATATTTCGATGAGTTGTTTCTATTACACTTTCAGTAGATTCCAGAAGTAATAATTAAAAAAACGTCTTTGAAGCAAACAACGACCAGAACGCTTCATAAAAATATACTCAATATCCTGCTTTGTGTATGATAATCGGTTACTGGAAAGTCTCCATTTCTATGCTAACACACAATAATATAACGTCATGGAATTGTATAAGTATCAATGAATAATCACAATAAAAATATCTCATCGAAGATATGTTGAGCAATTTTCATATATTTCAAAATTGTCATATAAATTCATGAAGTTAAAAAAATGAACCATAATATAAACATTCACGTGAAGTGCACAGGTATATTTTCAAAACACTATATGTATTGAGAAATTTGTAAATAAGCCAAATTATAATCAACCACAAGTACTAAGTATTCGTTTGGGGAATTTATATTTCTGAAAGACGAAGAGATATCAAAGAAAATGTTTTGTGATTGAATCATTAAGCAGCAACTTGATTTGTGTTGATTATAAAACAAGGGATAAATGAATATTAATTCACGATGTATTGAATTTTTCCGATAATCGTTATTGATCTAAACATACTATATTCATCAATTTATTAATTTTTAGCAATGAATGATGTCAGAAGGGGTTTTGTGGAGATTTTTAGAAATTTCAGTGGTTGAAACCATGAGTCGATTGAGGCTAAACCACCATGGAAAACCTGGAAGTACTGGACGGCTGTTTCGTCCTTGTATGGGACTCCTCAACAGTGCGCATCCACGATCCCAGTGCTTCCAGGTTTTCCATGCTTGTCTAGCTTAAATTGACTCATCATTTCAGCTATTGAAATTTCAAAAGTCCGCACAAAACCTCTTCTGATAATAATCATCTGCTCATTGGTGACTGACTTCAAGAGGCATTTCCTGGAGTTCTAGTGAGAAGCCGTCACTAGTGGAGTTTAGCCAGGCCTGTTGTAGGATATAAGATCACTGAAGACAATGTTGACGGTGGCGATATTTCATGGATTGGTTGAAGTTAGACAGTAACACCGTTGGATGCCGGCTCAGTGGTCTAATGCTTAGGCGCTCCCGCGCGAGACTGATAGGCCATGAGTTCGAATCTCGCGAGAGCAGGATCGTGGATGCTCACAGCTGAGGAGTCCCATACTAGGACGAAACGGCCATCCAGTGCCTCTAGGTTCTCCATGATGGTCCAGCCTCAATCGACTCATAATTTCAACTGTTGAAATAAATGATGTGTTCTATCAGGCAATTTCAATGTATTTTTCTATTGTGTATGCAAAAGATAATCCAGCCACCATAAAACATCTGAACTTTTCGCGGTTTTAATTATCACAATAGATTGTTAAAGTTCTATCACTGTAAGAGATTATGTCACACAGTTAATACTCATTATTGATTCATTGAAATAAAAAAGTAATTTATTTCATTACTGATTGTTGAGAAGTGGTTAACTAGAATGTTTTAGATTTAATAATAAAATTGTTCATTGGTCTTCAATGCTTCATTGTTTACTAATTAGTGAGGATGAGGAGCTAAGAAATTACTATGAACACTGAGAAAGTTTTAAAAGACAAAGTTTTCATGCGGTTTTACTTGAGTTTCAATTCCTCATTACTTATTTTCACAAATCAGATCTGCTGTAACTAGATGAAACACAAAAATGTAGTTAGAGTTTGTTGTGAAACATTTTCATGAAACAAAATAAACTAACACACATAAAGAACCACTCAGTATGAGCATGTAATTGCATCACATGAAATATTATATATATATTTATATCGAAGAAGAATGTTTCATCGAATTTACCGAAACATAACTAAATAACAGAGTGATTTAATAGTTGTTATTCCTTAAATATCGAAAGAAGTAACGAAAATAGTCATCGTTACTTCAACACACAATCTAGGTATATATATATATATATATATATATATATATATATATATATATAAGTACGAAATTCCGCCTGTAGCTCTTCTAGAGTTACTGCCGGTCCCAAGCACGGGTAAAGGAAGAGGGTTGAGCATGGGATTAGCGACCCCATTCCGTAGTAGACTAACTCGATAAAAATCGCTTACCAGAAAAAATAATTCAAAACATTTTAACTCTGCCCTGAGAGTTAGAAGGTCTTCATTTAGAAGAATTATGACGCCCCATGGTGAAAGCCGAAATCCTTCGGAAGCCACGAGGCCGTTGTCCCTTCTAACAACCAGAACAAAAGTTTTTATAGGTACATGGAACGTCCGAACAATGTGGGAGACCGGGAAGACCAGTCAAATAGCAACGCAAATGAGGATATACAAGTTGGCAGTACTGTGACTCAACGAAACCCATTGGACCCAAGCTGGACAGAAAAGGCTAGCTACGGGAGAGATGCTACTATACTCCGGTCACGAAGAGGAAAATGCTCCACACATTCAGGGAGTTGCTCTAATGCTGTTGAATGAAGCACAAAATGCACTTGTAGGATGAGGAACTCACGGATTCAGAATCATCAAAGCATCATACAAAACAAAGAAGGAGGGGATCACAATTAATATTATCCAATGTTATGCACCCACCAATGATAACAACGACGATATTAAAGATCAATTCTACGAGCAGCTTCAGTCAATCATAGCGAAGTGCCCAAGAAAGGACCTCACCATTCTAATGGGAGATCTAAATGCCAACGTTGGAATAGACAACACCGGATATGTAGATATTATGGGACGACATGGACTGGGAGAGAGAAACGAAAATGGAGAAAGATTTGCCAATCTGTGTGCATTCAACAAATCGGTCATAGGCGCCACAATATTTCCACACAAGCGTATACACAAAGCTACATGGATCTCACCGGACCACATTGCAGAGAACCAGATAGATCATATCTGCACCAATAAAAAAATTCTGAACGATAATGGAAGATGTGAGAACCAGTAGAGGAGCTGACATAACTTCAGATCATCACCTAGTTATGGCCAATTTAAAAAACAAGCTAAAGAAAAACTGGACAATTGGACAAACAGCACTACAAAGGTTCAATACATCTTTCCTTCGAGATACTAACAAAATCAACGAATTCAAGATAGCTCTCAACAACAGGTTCCAAGCCTTACAAGATCTACTGCAGGAAGAAGAAACTTCTTTGGAGGACAACTGGAAAAGTATCAAAGAAGCATTAACTTCAACGTGTCAAGAGGTTCTGGGCCTAATGAAACACCATCTTAAGGAATGGATCTCTATAAAAACACTGGACAAGATCAAAGAAAGGAAGAACAAGAAGGCAGCAATAAACAACAGCCGAACACAAACAGAGAAAGTCCAAGCACAAGCTGAATACATAGAAGCAAACAAACAAGTGAAGTAGAGCATTAAAGCCGACAAGCATAAATACGTGGAAGAAATAGCAACGACGGTGGAAAATACTGCAAAAGAAGGAAATATGAAACAGCTTTACGATACAACGAAGAAACCAACAGGAAAATATAGTAAACCAGAGAGACCGGTCAAAGACAAAGAAGGCAGGCTAATCACTGAAATTCAACAACAGCGAAACAGATGGGTAGAATGCTTCGAGGAACTCCTGAATAGGCCGGCTCCAATGAATCCACCGGACATCGAAGCAGCACACACAGATCTTCTCATAGACACCAACATACCAACGACTGAAGAAATTAGAATGGCCGTCAGACAAATCAAGAACGGGAAAGCAGCAGGACCCGACAACATACCAGCTGAAGCACTGAAGTCAGACATCGAAGTAACTACAAAAATGTTTTACCTTCTATTCAAAAAAATTTACGAGGAGGAACAATTGCCGATGGACTGAAAAGAAGGACACCTCATCAAGAATTTAAAGAAAGGAGATATGAGCAAATGTGAAAACTACAGAGGCATTACACTACTGTCAATACCAGCGAAAGTCTTTATCAGAATGTTTCTGAACCCGGTGAAAAACGCAGTAGACACCCAACTTTGAGAGAAACAGGCAGAATTTCGTGAGGATCGGTCGTACACAGACCAAATACCAACACTACGGATCATCGTTGAACAATCAATTGAGTGATACTCAACACTACATCAACTTCATTGATTATGAAAAGGCATTTGACAGTGTAGATAGGAGAACGTTATGGAAACTTGTTCGACACTACGGAGTTCCTGAGAAGATTGTCAATATTATCCGCAACTCATACGACGGACTGCAGTGCAAAGTAGTGCATGGAGGATAGCTGACAGATGCATTCCAAGTAAGGAACGGGGTCAGACAAAGCCGTCTACTCTCTCCCTTCCTCTTTCTTCTGGTGGTCGACTGGATTATGAAGACCTCGACATCTGAAGGAAAACACGGAATACAATGGACAGCTCAGAACAATTAGACGATTTGGACTTCACAGATGACCTAACTGTCCTATCGCATAAACATGAACAAATGCAAATGAAGACAGCCAGTGTAGCAGCAGTCTCTGCATCAGTAGGCCTCAACATACATAAGGAAAAAAGCAGGATTCTCAAATACAACACGGAGAACAGCGATCCAATCACTCTTGATGGCGAAACATCGTACGGAGCTGAAACTTAGAGAACTACAACAACCACCATCAAGAAGGTATAAGTATTTATATATAGCCATCTACGCAAGGTACTCAACATCCATTGGCCGGATACAATATATAACACCCTTCTCTGGGAGAGAACAAACCAGCTTCCAGCTGAAGAAGAAATTAGGAAAAGACGATGGAAATGGATAGGACATACATTACGCAAATCGTCATACTGCATCACGAGGCAAGCCCTAACTTGGAATCCTGAAGGGAAGCGGAAAAGAGGAAGGCCAAAGAACACATTACGTCGAAAATAGAAGCAGATATGAAAATGATGAATAACAACTGGAAAAAGCTAGCGAGGATTGTCCAGGACAGGGTTGGAGGGAGAATGCTGGTGGGCAGCCTATGCTCCTTAACGAGGAGTAACAGGCGTAAGTAAGTAAGTAAATAATAAGTACAAAGATTAGTGTGAAGGCGTGTTACGAAGAATTTCTATAATATTTTAATATTTCAAATAGCAATCATTATAAAAACATTCATCCATATGCTTTTTTATGAAAAAGTAGCACGTTTTCATGACTTCTTTCATCTTTCCCCTACTCCAATATGTAGTTAAAATTAAGGAATTACCCATGACTTTGATAAATGCAATTTCTTTATGATGAATTTTCAGGAGATATCAATGACACAAGGACTTCATGTGAGCGAATTCAATGAAATTATTTCAATGAAAGAACTGAAATCCATTTGTCCTCAGGTAAATTTTATTTCAAAACTTTCCTGAATAATATCATTGATATCATAATACAGCTCAAGTGAGGTTGACAATTACCCACATGTGTTATGAGATAGATACTTATTTTCATTGACTACATCATAAACTGATCATATCTAGAAATCCTTAACATGGTGAACAGCTCTTTTAACTGAGAATCGGCCACAGCAATACACGTCTACGGCACCTTGACGGTAAAATGCAGATCTCACTGCAAGTATTTATTCTTTAACCTAATGAACCACTAAATGTGGATTGAACAGATATCCTATACTATAAGGAAACAGCTTTTCAGAACCACATGATTTTTCGATTGTTATATAACTGAAATTATTTGGAAATGTAATCTACGAAATCTAACAGTCCCCACAAACTTCTTATATGGTGAAACGTTGTTTATTTCCAAAACATCCAAATAATGAGTAGAGATCATAAACAGAAATTCACTTGCATCATACTTATTCGTCAAAACTCTTTTAATTCGAGTCACTTTGGAATCATTGTTACATTTCCTTTCGTAATTATATATATGTCACCTTCATTTTATTTTAATTTACATGTATAGATCGATTGGAGTTATTTATTGAAAGAATTACTGAAACAAACTGGATATACAAAATCCAAGCAGCTATCAATCATTGTAGAAGGACGATATCAGCTAAAACATCGTTGTGAATTATATGGTGATGTAATGAAAACAAAAAATGATAAAAGGTGAAACCTACTTCATTTTCTTAATGACTAACAACAAATATAACAGTTTAACTTCAAGTATATTGAAAAGGAATACCAGCATAATCCTGGGTAACTATGTCTGTATCATCATGTGAAAACTGCTTATTCTAAGCTGAATTTTTATATTTAAACTAAGCGCATTAAAAGCATTGAAGTTTTGTCATCAAATACTATGTTGTTAGGTTTATCATAGGAAGAAGCCCATTGACATCTATATAAGGCTTATTGCCATTTATAATCAACGGGTTTCCGTTTACATCGCAGTGACACGTTGATATGATACATGTAGTGAATATTATGTACTAAAAACTGTTTATCAGTCATTCTGAATACCCTCAATGTACATCTTTTAACTAAGCAGAGCACAAAACTTTCCAAAATTTATTTAAGTAAACAAACTGGCCACTGTTTGTTTTATTTGAGTAGAGCTAATAAAAGGAGTTGTTAATTTCACATTAGATTATCATTAGGAAGAACGTCAACGATCAACTTGTGTGCTTTTTCAGTCGATCCTGAGAACCTGGATAGCTTGGTTAAGTCGGCAATATCATGTTGGACAACTTCTTCAGAGACTGGGAATAATAATTTCAGTCTTCATTACACAATGTAAGTGATAACGGAGATTTATGTAAACAAAGACTATGAAACAGATAATATCCGGCTACACTTCGTATCCAGTGTTCTGGGACTTGTCACAACCCGAAAATAACACACGTTTACTCTGCTAACGAACATCTACCGAATACAACACTGTTTCGATACATGTTCTGTGGTAGGTTTCCAATATCTAATAAAAGGATTTTACAAAAATGTTGAAACTAAAATTATTCAATCTATATTTCCTCATTGGTATCGTACATGACAAATGTCATTTGACTATTTCATCTGTACTTAGTTATTGATAAGGATCTATAAAGCTGAATTATGAGCCGTATTTTATTTGCTGCTCTTACTAAATTATTTGGGTAAAATCTAGTAGGTATATCTATAATCTCACACTTCATACGCTTGTTTGGCACAAAAATGTTGTAGATAACCGGCTCCACGCTCTAAAACTACAATGTAGACTTATTGATACTGATCGGTGTAAAATTACAGGGGGGCGCTTCTTATTATCTATTCACAATACTAGTTACATTAAAGCTTTTCTTTAACTTGACTTCTTTTTTTACAGTGCATTTCGTACAATCATTATTATGGATTTTTTGATTAATCAATTGTTGCAATCCATGAACCTCAGTCCCACTGGAACAGACAATAATTCGTATTCATGTTAGTATAAAATTGATGCATTAATTTGGTTAGCTCTGACATTCAATTAACAAACTATTCGGTTTGTATTAAACGACTAAAATTTATATGATCCGGTGGTTGCCTGAATATACACAAATTCAAATATATTTTAAGTAGTGTGCCAAATGCTTGACTACATTTTCCGAATACATATACGGTATTCAAAATCATGATTTGATGCAAGCGAAGTTTCTGACAGTAAAAATGGTAGACCTATTTAGGATGGTAGCTGTAGTTGTGTAGCATTACCATGTGGAGAATAAGTCCATTTTTAAAGATTTATTTTTCGACAATTAATGTATAATTTTTAAATAAGATATACATCTCGAACATTTAATGTATTTCCATACTAAAGTTAATTCATTAAGTAATGATCAACTCTCAGACAACATTAACTCTCAAGTAATTATCACACACGTTATTCTAAATTTTATTTTATGGTAACATATCGCCTAAAACGTACTATAATATATAAAGATATTTTTGTACATGTAAAGATATTTCCAACGGAAATTCATAAGGATCGGATACAAGACCAGATTATTGATGAATATTTAATGTTAGAAGGGGTTTTATGGAGAATTTGGTAATTTCAATCGTCGAAATCATGGGTCATTTGAGACTAGACCACCAGGGAAAACCTGGAAACACTGGATGGATTTTTCGTCCTAGTACGAGACTCTTCAGCTGTGCGTATGCACGATCCCGCCTCCCGCGAGATTCGAACACAGGACCTATCAGATATTGACACCGTTGAATGCCGGCTCAGTGGTCTAATGATTAAGTGCACCAGCGCGAGACTTATAGGTCCTGGGTTCGAATCTCTCAGGGGGCAGGCTCGTGGATGCACACAGCTGAGTCCCATACTGGGAGAAAACGGCCATCCAGTGCTTCCAGGTTTTCCATGGTGGTCTAGCTTCATTTGACTCATTATTTCAACTATCGGAACTTTTAATGATTATGAATGAAATAATTAACATAGGGATTTCGAATCAGATTTTAACCGCATATCACTTCATGAGTATTACCGTAATAACAAGAGCGGTTTATTTAGATCAGCACTGAACAAATTTTCGATGATCATTTCAAATGACGTTTTAATATGCCAAGTGTTGATGCGTTCTATTTGTAAAAAACCACAAATGACATTCGAATTCTTATTTTGGAACACGTAGTTTTGTCATATGAATAAAGTTAACGTCTAACACCTGATAATCACTGACTGCTAGCATCAATAAATATACTAATAACCAGTATAAAACAGACAAGGCAACAGTTACTAGTCGAAACAAAACTTCGTATTGTATTCTGCCTGCATAATTTAACAGAAGGCATTATCATATATGAACAAATCCAGTATACTCTGCAAATCCCATCAGCGTAATCCATTATCCCTGAAACAATGCAGATTTATCAATCATTGCCATTTTCAGTCATATTGATAGAAATGGAATGACTTGAAATAGTAATTATCTAAAGTATACTTTGAAGCACGTCCTGATATTCAAAGCAATGTATTGGACGTAAACAGCTATTTGGTTAAACATTATTTTGAATATATTCTTTCTCCACTTAGTGTTGAAGCAAGTATACGATGATTGAGTATACAAGTAGTCATGAACACTAGATCTGTAAACACTGATTTGAACGATAGTGTCATTAGTTTCATGAGGATGAGCTTTATATTTGTTGACACACTCACTGATCCCGTTCCGTCCTTTTATAAATTCATTTGATCCTCTCACAACATAACATTATTTCACTTTATTTTAAATAACTTCACAGCCACATTTTGATGAGCAATGTATAAATCGGTTGAAGGATGCATTTCCATGGACGCTTGAAAGACATTATATCCGTTCGCATGTAAACGAAACACACAAAACAGAGGTTGATTCATGTCATATTTCACTTATTTACAATGTTTGAACGGTAGACACGTTTAGCGATAATATGAAATCGTTACATGATGAAATGAGACAATCCAAATAGATTCCTAGTAACAACTAATTCACCGATTGAAGAATTCCTTATATAATCAAAGGGCTACAATATAATTATTTTTCATTTTAAACATCAATTATATTAAAAGAAATATTTGTAGATGTTATTGTGGTGGAATCTGAATAGCTCGTAAATTTTTTTCAAGAGTATGGTTTGAGAATAATCGAAATTAAAATTATTTTATTGGAATACTGTCAGAAACACTTTTGTTCTCAACAGTCGGCCATTCATACTTATTTTCAACTGTTACCCCTCGTCGATGAACATATGCAACTCACCAGTATTCTTCATCCAACTCTGCCTTGACCATCCTTTCAATTTGTTTCCAGTTGGTATTCATTCTTTTCATGTCTCCTTCCAATTCCCAACGCCGTGTCGTCTTTGGCTTCCCTCTTTTCCATCACACTTCAAGACTCCAAGTAAGCGCTTAATTCGTGATGCAGTTTGGCGATTTCCTTAATTTCTGTCCTATTCACTTCAAAAGTTTTTTTAATTTCTACTCAGACGGAAGTTAGCTTATTCTCTCCTACAGTAGGCTGTTGCTGATACTTTCCGGTTGTCTAATCCTTCTTTAGTTTCAGTTCCATCTTGACAACCGCCAGGTAGATGATGATCTGAAGCTATGTAAGCTCGTCTCCTGGTTCTCACGTCTTCCATTGATCTTATGAAATTTTTCCTGATGCAAATATGATCTATCCGGTTCTTCGTGGTGTGGACTGGTAGGACTAATATAACTTTGTGTATGCATTTGTGTGGGAATATTTTGCCACTTATAACCGATTCCATTTACAAATCACTAACTCTTATGTTTACTTTCTCCTAGTCCATGTCACCTCATTATATCTTCATAACTGTTGTTGTCCATGACAACTCTGGCATTTAGATCCCTCATAAGAATAGTCGTGTTCTTCCCTGTACACTTCGCTATGGTCGACTGAAGCCTCGAATACGACTGATGTTTATTATTGTTATTGCTATAATTGGTGGGTGTATAACATTGAATATCATCTATTGTAATTCTCACCTTCTTTGTTTTGAAGGATGCCTTGATGATCCCAGATCAATGAAATTCCTACAGTACACGTTCATTTCATGCTTCTTTGGACATCACCAAATCAGCTGCTTGAATGTGTGAAGCACTTCCCTCTTCTTGACTGGAGAACAGCGCACCTAAACTTTTCTGTCCAGCTTGTGTCCAGTGGGTTTCACTGATTCCGAGTACTAACAAGTTGTATCTCCTCGTTTCTGTTCCTATATTTTTAGTTCGGTCGGTTTCCTATATTGTCCCGATATTCACTGTACCTTCAAAATTGTTGCTCTGGTTGTTTCAGGGTGCATCGACATCATAACTTCCGAAGAATCTCTGCCTTCATCATGAGATGTAATAATTCTTCCTTCAACCTCCAGGGCAGAATTTAAATGGTTTAAATCGTTTATTCTGGTTAGCGCTCTTACCAAGGCTGTGTTCTACGGTTTGGGGTTACCGGCTCCATGGATAACCCTTCTCTTTTGTGTGAACTTGAGACAGACTGTAGCCCTAGAAATTTTACAGGCGGAGTTCATGAGGTTACCACGCTTTTCGATTTGAATTACACAAACGTAAATAAATATCGCCAAATAGCACAATTTAAAGCACACTCCACACCAAATGACTTATATTCACACAAAGTGATAATTATCATATTAACTTAATAAAGGCTCAGCTTAAAAATATTTTCCAACGGTATTTGTGCTAAACAACATTGACTTTGGTTACTCTTCGAATTGACAAAGTTTATGATGCGGAAATTAGGGTTACTTTGATGTTAATTCATGAGAATTTCCAAAACACTTTCATACTTTCGACATCACCTACAAACCTGTCCCTCAACAGTTGTGAAATTATTCCTTTGATTTCGGGTATACGTTCCTACATGAATTACATCACATGATCAACATCGTTCCAATATCGACCTAGTTTCGGTTAGACAATCAACTCGAACCACTTTTCTCGAAACAAACACAGTTTCAGTGAAAATCTGCTGATTGTTTTTCAAATAATCTTCGGAATCCCTACGGAGTGTCATCACTAGTGTGGTCTATTTTGAGATCTAGGAGTTACACTGTGCAATATTCATTCGAACAATATGGGACGAGACTTCATTATTGTAAGCATTACATTACATTGCCAAGATTAAATGTAACATAGTACAACTTAGTAAGAGTAGGGAACTATCTATGATGTTAGTTAAACGTACCTAGCCACTCAAAATGTTTTTATCACCTGTATACCATGTTTCTCATCAAATCCATATAAAACACAGATTCTAATATCCATCCAAATGATATTGTTAAGCTACTCTGCTAGACTGTATATTGGTACACAATTTAAATATCAAAAACATATTCTTGATGAACAGAGAACAATGGTCGATTTGAAAAACCAAAATCCATCATACTGTAGTGGCATAGCTTTGTTAATCAATCACTCTCGTAACCGTTATTATATAAATATCAACGTTGTTTGAAATCAGAAGGCAATGAGAAGCGGCAATTACAGTTTATTAGCAGATAGCGCAGATCACAATGCTATAACTAGATCAAACGAATCTGAAGCAGAGAAGCGAATATGTTTATGCGAGCAAATACAGAGGCAAATTTATAGTCAAATCGAATAAGTGCACAGCACGGCAAAGCAAGGACTAATAATAGGATTTGAGTACATGCATAGATGGGGAGGAGGATGAATCATCGAGTGACATTTAAGATATTCACTCCTTAGCTAGAGTCTGTCATGTGATCTAGGGATCATAACGGTACAAAGAGATATGCAAATTGTTACTATTCAAATAACATTCTTTGTCAAGTAAGTCAATAAAAGAGCATAACTAAAGTTAACCATAATCGAAATTGGTTGTAGGACAGTTGCTATAGGACAACCACTTGCCATGAACTCATTACTAAGTTGCTGTGCTCACGCCTAAGATATGCTCATG